TTGAGGCTCTGTCTCAAAAAAAAAAAGAAATGCTGATCAGTTGCTACCCTTGCAAAAAGCTTTTTAAACCCCGAAAAATAATACTTCAACTGTTTAACAAACTGATTAGATGTCTCAAACAAAATAACAAAAATAACCTCAAACTCTTTTCTGGCTGGGGGGGGTTTAGCACCTCTCACTCTGACCTCACCTGGTGAAGACACTTTCGGGCTTTGTCATACTCGCTTCGGAGGCAGTAAGCACTGCCAAGGTTGAACAGCATCACAGTCCTGGCAGAGTTGACGGAACTAGGGTAGCACTGAGGTGCTCGCTTCCCAGCTGCAGAAAAAAGAATATAGATCCCAGTGAAGAGGCCGTGCCAAGGGCAAGGGAGAAGGACAATCTACCACCTTCAAGGAGCCACTCAGAACAAAGCACAGCACCATTTGTCAGACAAATGAAAGACACAAGATTTAGAGTCTAAAATTTTGGGATGCAGACCAGACTACTTAAGTATTTACAAAACTTCTTACTTACAGGATTCCATTGCTTCATTTTCACCTTTGTCTGATCCTACAAAAATATGAAAATGAATTTGAGGGGCAGGCCAACGAAGGCTATTTTCTAAAAACTTACCTTTCCTTATAAAATGGAAATATGATAAATACAAAGCAACCTCTCACAACATTCACTTTTCACATAGTGGAAGCTCTACTAAAAGACATCAGATTGCAACCACCCACCACCACCTTAATCTGAAAGCTAATCTCAAATAGAGTGAATGCCACCTTAATTACATTTCCTCACAAATGTAGCCATGATTTAAAACTGACTTTTGAATGCAATAATTTTACTTCCCTTTGGAAAACATAAGCACTGCAAAGAAAAAAATACAGTATTAGAATCAACATAATGTCTGCCAGCCTATCAGCCTTTTAATAGGGAGAAATTTAGACCAGGTGATAATCAACTCTGAGGTCTACTTAGCAAATAATTACTACAAAGTTAACTACAGCCAAAAATGTGGAAAGCTGACCTAAAACTTCCTTTTCTTTACAACCATGCCCTTAAATTTCCACACATCCTAAATTACGACAGGAAGGAAGTGAAAATGGTGACTAGTTTTGATCAAATGTGTCCTCATTAACCTTGGTCTTGCTCATTTGAAGAGATCCCTAAGGAGACATCAGTGACATTCTCTGGGTTCAAGTGAGTAATAGCATCAGATATTCTGTCGAGAGAGATGAGTGCTTCTGCAGCATATAAATGGCCCAAAAACCTAAAATGAAAAAACAGATTTCCAAACTGAAAAGTAGGTCATCACAAAAATAGCCAATGTATTGGGTATAAAATTGGTTATTATACATCGGATATAAATCTCCTATATTTCAGGTTCTTTAATTTAAATCTAAAATTATTTAGGTAAAATGGATCAATTAAGGGTCACTTAAATTTTATCTCTCAAAAACATCTTTTTTTTTTTTTTTTTGAGACAGAGCCTCAAGTTCTCGGCCTGGGTAGAGTGCTGTGGCATTACAGCTCACAGCAACCTCCAACTCCTGGGCTTAAGCGATTCTCCTGCCTCCGCCTCCCAAGTAGCTGGGACTATAGGAGCCCAGAACAATGCCTGGCTATTTTTTGGTTGCAGCCATCATTGTTGTTTGGTGGGCCTGGGCTGGATTTGAACCCACCAGCTTAGCTGCTTAAGCCACAGGCACTGAGCCCATGCTGTTCTATTTAATTAGAAAATAATATTAACACAAACAGGTAATAAATCATTTCTAAGCTAAGAGAGAGATCCTAGAATGGGTGCCCACCATAAGAATATGAAAGAGTAGGCAGCTCTAGTCCATGCTGCTATGAGTCTATATAAAGCATCCTGGGCATGGTGGCTTATGCCTGTAATCCAAACACTTTAGTAGGCTGAGGAGGGTAGATGGCCTAAACTCACAGGTTTGAGACCAGCCTGAGCAAGAGCAAGACCCAGTCTCTAAACATAGCCAGGCAATGTGGTGCGCACCTGTAGTCCCAGCTACTGGAGAGGCTGAGGCAAGATTGCTTGAGCCCAAGAGTTTGAGGTTGCTGTGGCTATGATGGCATGGCACTCTATCTGGGGTGAAAAAGTGAGACTCTGTCTCAAAACAAAACACACCAGTGCACAGATTTAGGCTGGATCAACCTCACTTCTATTCTAAAGGTTTCCTGCTTTTCATACTGTTCTATTTTATTCCCACTGATGCTATAGCAGATGCATATTCTAGCAGATGCATATTCTCCTGCTTCTTTCAGTCTTACTTTGAGCCATCTTCCCCATGATTACCTCGCTGATTTTTCTAAATTAAAGCAGCCTTAGATATATCCCTGCTCAATTTTTTTTTCTTTTTTTTGACACAGAGTCTCAAGCTGTCACCCTGGGTAGAATGTGAGCTATAGCTCACAGCCTCCTCCAACTCTTGTGCTCAAGGGATCCTCTTGCATAAGTTTTTTCTACTTTTAGAGATGGGGTCTTGCTTAGGCTGGTCTCGAATAGGTGAGCTCAAGCAATTCACCCACCTCGGCTTTCCCAGAGTGCTAGGATTACAGCTGTGAGCAACTGCACCTGGCCCCTGCTCAAAATCTTAATGACGTTTTCCACGTGAGAAAAAGACAAACAAAACTAAACTTTTATAGTTTCAAAGCTCTCCATAATTTGGTCTCACTTAAACATATCCATCCGATATTTTCACCCCCCCAAGCCACTGCTTCCCTGTAGCCCTGCCTCCTCAAACTCAAAGTCTGGCCTAATCCCCACAAGTCAGTATCTAAACCCCACCTTTTACAGGGTCTGCTCAGGTCTCATCTCATCAGCTAGCCTGCCTCAACAGTCTGTCCACATGGATCTTGAGTTATCAAATCTTAGGCCCTTTTCAGTTTGAGCACTTCCTGGGATTTATGTGTATTAATTACCTAAGAAGTCTTTCTCTCTCTCTCTGCTTTTTTTGTTTTTGATACAGGGTTTCACCCTGTCACCTAGACTATAGTTGTATGATCACAGTTCACTGCAACCTCCAACTCCTGGGCTCAAATGTGTTCCTCCTCATTCTGCCTCCTGGGTGGCTAGGACCTGTACATATATATGCCACTGTGTCTGGCTAATTTTTATTTTGATTTATTTATTTATTTATTTATTTAGACGGAGCCTCAAGCTATCCCCCTGGGTAGAGTGCCATGGCATC